ATACATGAGTACAGGTTCTGATTTGGTACATGACCAAGCCGAGCATGCTCTTTTGAAAGAGGTGGAAGTGGTCAGAAATTGTGAAAATAAATTAGAACATTTTACAGATAAATGTGTTGATCAGGTAAGTATGAAACTATAATTTCATGCCAATCACTGCAATCTCTTACTTTATATTTAGCTTACAAATAGTAGGGCAGTCCAAAATCAGTTAGAAATTGATATAAAAAATAAAGAAACTGCACTTGGAATTGATATTACATGTCACCAAATGAACAATTTCAGTCGAGGATTAACATATTATGGTGGTATTGAAAAATATGACCCCAGGTAAGTCCATGTCAATTATAGTTTATGACTGTAATTTATGTTGTATATCTTAAGTGTCACAGAAGCTGAATCATGGGCAGAAGCTTCCAATAATGTAGTAAAAAAATCACAAAAAGAACGAGAAACATCTAATCAATTACGAAGCGATATAGAAAAGGCAATAAATGCAGTTGGACATGAAATGTGGGAAGCATGGGGAAATACAAATAATGCATTAGCCAGAAGAGCTGCAGAAATGCTCGAAGCAAAAGAAAAATTACAAATACATTTACATAAAGTAATTAAAATTGTCTTGAGTCTTAAGCTTTTATTATTTAATTGATATATGTAACTATAGATCCAACAAGAAATCTTTGCAATTGAAAAAAATTTGCAATTAATACAAAAAGCCATCACAGATAAAAGTTCTGCTCTTAAAGTTGCACACACTCGTTTAGAAAGTAGATCGCATCGACCAGCTGCAGAATTGTGTAAAGATTATGCTCAACTCAGGTATATCTAAGAAATTTATATACAACTTAATGACAGCAACCTTAAACATTGAATTTTCATTTACACAGAATGATCGAGGAAGTAGAAACAATAAATTCAATGATACATGAAATGAATTTAAAATTACAAAGATTTGAAGCACAACATCAACAACTTCTACGCACTAGATCTAATTTAGAAACTGATTTAAAATGCAAAGTTGATTCATTATTTATTGATAGAGAAAAGTGTATGGGCATGCGAAGAAGTTATCCAATAGCATCAGTTATAAAATTTTGAATCATATATGTATCTAAATATAAATATATCAAAAGGACATTTATTTGTTCTATTTATTTATTTATTTACTTTTTTATATCATACATACAAAATTCTACTGTTTCGTAAAAATATAATAAAAATAGTGCTTTACTTTTTTAAGTGTATCTTTTTTTCTAATATTAACAAAAAAAAAAAAATCATTGGTATTAAATCCAATAGTACGAAAAATTATTTTTATTAATGAAATAAATCTAATATTTTTGATGTATATAATAATATCACATTAATCGTCTGATGCAAAATTTAGATCTAGGATCTAATTATAGATCAGATCTAGGATTTAATTATATTTGTGCTATAAACTTCGAAATTATTCACGCGGAATAATAAATCTTTAACTTATCTTTATTTTAATGTACAACAAAATCAACATGTTCGCTATCAGTGACATATCATGAATTCTAACATATATATATATATATTGCATTTGATGTGTTATATTAAAAAACAAAAAAAAATCCTGTTAATGATTTAATGATACTATAGTAGCGAACATATTGAATTATACTTGTTACTTGTAAATTACTATGTACAAAGCTTCTCATAAAGTTGTTTATAAAAAATAGTACTTATAGACATTTAAGTTAAAATAATTTTTTTTCGTTTACATTCTTAGTCCATCTGAAAGCTGCTATTGTATCATAGAGTTTCATTATAGCTGATTCTGTATCATATTCGTCTTTCAGATAAAAAATTTTAATATTCTCTTCTGGATGACATTCCAAAATATTCCATTTTTCAAATAATTTCAGAGAATTTTTTATCGAATCGACTGATAAACTTTCACCTATTTCAAAATAAAATTGGTGATTATTTATAAAGCAACTGAGCTTATATATATATAATTATTTGCCATTACTTACAATAATTTATTATATCATGATCTATATTCGTTTTTATTTCATTAAAAATTTCACGAATTAAATCTTTCTCAATAAGTGATTGACCTACTAATCTTCTAAGAGACAAAGCACTAAAAGTATAAGCATCAACTAAAGGTTGCAACATTACATGAAGAAATTCCATACGTTTTGTAATTTCTGGTATTAAATTCAACTGGAGAAAAATAATTAAATGATAGATTATAACTCTGTTGTTAAAATATATAATTAAATAAACAACTTACTTTGTACTGAATATCTTTAGCCTTATTCTTATTGCGATATTCTTCATCTGAACTATCATCAAAATTTTTTGCATATCTTTTACTCCATAGTTCTTCTTCTAAATAACATTCCTATTAAACAATTTGAATGAATAACTTTTTAATAATGAAATTATTTGCGTCATGTACAATACCTCTTGTAAAATAATAAATTCTTTATGTGAGAGGTTCACTATGGTATCTACAATAACACGTTCTAAATCCTGACATGGCTTGCAGAAAATAAATTCATATTTAAAAATATCACAAAGCTTAAGTGATTTCTTTATCAAAAGATCTTGAGACACTGTAATGTTGTTTTGAGCAATAGCTACAGGATCATTAATTTTTGATTGTAACTCAGCATACAAAGCAGTTACTGAAAATATAATAAACGAATTAATAAATTAATTTAATTTAAGATATTAAAGCATTAAAGTTTTAAAGTATTAAAGTTATATTTTCTTACCCACTATGCTATCTATAGCAAAACATGTTACCACTGTATTACTGTAATAAGATAGTTCAATTACATTCGGTAAAGATAACACAGGACGGATTACAGTAACAAAATTTGATTGAGTCAGCTGACCGTCAGCTGATTCTGTAATTTTTTGATTTTGCAATTTTATTAAATCTGAGCCTAAGATATCCAACTAGAAAAATGACCCAACATATATATTTTTTTATTTTAATAAAATATTTAATAATATAATTATGTTACTAACAGCATGATTTATAATATCAATACTTTCTCCACAAAATGCAATATTTTTATTACGGCTTTCTAACTCCTGTCTTATTAAATCAAATGCTTCGATTAATTCGTCCATAGTACAACCATCTCGAAGTATATATAAAAGCATGAATGCAACAACGTTGGTCGACATTATTGGTATTGCGTTACTACAGTCTAAAAAATACTGTATATTAACACTGAACAAATAACGAATTAATATTTGAAAATATTTTATTCCTACCATATACAACGTGCCGCGCAAGGCTATCAACTAGTTGACGGTATTCTTCTACAACTACATCTGTACCATATAGCGATGAACTAGATATTGTAGATTTTAAAGGTTTTTCAACAGAAGATATTTTTACTCCATTCAATTTTGATTGATTTTGGAAAGAATTTAACATTTCCTTTTTATGAAACGATAAAATTGTATAATTAAGAAAATGTGAATTTAGCAATAAAAATCACGTGTCATGTTAAAAAGCATTCGAATAACTGACCTTGAGTGAAAAAGGTTGACAAAAGTCAATTCTCATAATTCCATGATTTGCCAATAAAGTAGAAAATATGGCTTTCATTGTAGATATAAATGTTTCATTCTTCTTTGGTTCACCTAGCTGCTCTTTAACAAAATTTCCATCAATAATATGTTCATAATTTGGTACAACAGGTATTATCATTGCATCTTCAATGATTCCCTCCATGTATGCATTAAGAACAACACTTAAAATGCCACCCTTTGGCATACATGGTTTACCAGTTCTTGTACGTGTTCCTTCTATAAAGAACTCTATAATATGACCTTCTTCTAATTTTTTCAATATATACGTCTGAAGAACGGCACGATAAAGAATATCTCTGCGGCCTATAACGGGATCGATTCGACGTTTTATAAAGAATGCACCCAAACCTTGCAAAAGCTTCCTATTTAGTATATAAAATTTAGTTAATAATAATATAGCATTACAATACGATTTAATATATATATCCAAATTATTGTTCATACCCAAAAAGTGGCATTTTTAGATTGTCACCAGCTGCAATTAATGGACATTTAATACCATATATTACATGAAGAAAGCTGATTATACAATAATCCATATGACTACGATGTAGAGGAAGTAATATCACAGGAAGACCAGTCTCATTTGCCTTTACTAACATTTCTATTTGAGATGGCAATACTACAACAGATTGCATAAAACATGGTAACATTATATAAATAATCCATGCTACAATTTTAAGGAAAAAATTGTTTGGTTTGCTTTCCATTTGTTGTAATATAGTTTTGGCTCTAGTTTCTGCTTTTTCCAAGGCAATCGTTTCACTACAACCCTCATCCTTAATTATTTCACAAGCAACCAATTTAATTGCTTCCTTTAATTTTTCACTTTCTAAGATCTATAAAATAGAAAAATTATGTATGAAATTTATATAAATAATTAGACTTTTGCTTACAGTAAATACGATTATTTACTAGATTTATAACTTACTGTTTTTCTTAATTTTGAGTAATTATGTTCTTTAAAAGAACAAGTAGATATCGCACGAGGAAATATTCTAGACAATAGCGATCGGCGTGATTCCATTAACAAGATATTTATACCAAGAGATGTATATTGTTTGTTGATAGTACTTACTAATGAGTTCTATAAGAAATAAAATTAAATGAAAAATATGTACTACATGTCATACGAAATATTTCACCAATATTTTTTTGTTTTCAATTATCACGCATTATTGCATTAATTTTTCGCATATTACTAAAAAAAGAGCACTTTTTATAAAATTACTAATAAAATCTTTTTTTTTTTATAAACTAACATTGTTTTTGAAAAAGTTGAAAAATTCACGAGTATCTTATTAATTTACCACGGATAATTTATTAGTACATCGGAGTAAGAGAATAATTCATTAAACTGTGAAATGAATTTTCCTCATTAGATATATAGTTTTTAGATATATAGTTTTTTAATTATGACTACTCGCAAAATGTTCATTGCAATTTTTTTTAATCTATGAATATATTGAAGAAAAACTAATACTGCTAACATGTAATATTTGATATAATACATTAAACGATACACATATTTTTATATAATAGATGATTACAAGCAGAACCTAAAAAAAAGATCAACACAATCTTAATAAATTAGTTATATAAATATACATGGTAATTTATAGTTTTTGTTTGCATGATAACTAATATTTAAAATATCATTTGAAGCAATTTTGAAAATTTATTTATAACAAAACATGATCCAAATAATGAAAACGTTCATTGCGACGCAAAAAAATAAGATTTGATAAAATTTTACAAAAACTTACTCTAGATGATGGAGTACAACTTCTGCAGCAATAGTGTAGAAGCAAAGATTTTTCTTTAACAGTAGGAGTAAATGGTTCGGACTCTTTGATTTCAAATAAAGAATTTTCCCGAATTTTTCTTGCTTGTTCCTTGTCTCGCATCCTCCTTTTATACATCTGTTGTCCAATCCGTCTAAGTTCTGAACCATTAATATTCGATTAAAATACTTTATCTTCTACCTTTAATAACAATTCTTTCATTTAAAATTTTTTCACCCTGAGTAAAAATCTTACCCTTTATCGAAAATGGTGTGGCATCCGATTCTGGATTTCGTTTCACTTCCGTTCGGCGATTCCATCTCGCATATACTTCTTGCAAACGTGTTGAAACTGTGTCGAGCATACTGTAAACCGTGTTATCACACAAGTATTGTTTGAATATAATATCTTTAGAAAATATAGAAATATTTTCATAAAATTGTCCATAAAATGTATCAAATCTTAATTTACAGCAACAAGTAAAAATCAGTATAATTTTTCAGTAGGATCTGTGTTTAATACATTTAAATCTTATGTAGATATTTAATTGAATATCAATTTCACTGTGTAAGATAAAAATTTTTAATTTCCAGAATTTTATACCTACTTATAGTTATATTGATTATAATCATAATATAATTTTTCGTAGAACTTACGTTAAAGTAAAATTTAATACACTTTAAAACATAGAACAAAAGTGCGAAGCGACTGATAGAAAATATCGGACGACACTTTGGTTAAATAAATTTAAAAAAATTATTCAATGCAAACGTGCGTAAATATTTTACCGAATGAAATCAAAAGTAAAAATAGAATTATTTATTTTTATAATTAATATGTCGATCATGCATTCTAACAGAAGCAAATCTGTAGGAGAACATGATTTCACGGAAGTTGGTTTTTAATGCAACCATGTATTATTTACGCTCCATCTCCGACGCATTTAACGGTTCGATACAGTCCAATGCAATCGCAACTAACGGATGAGATTTCCTTTTTTTCAAATGTATCATCTTCAATATTATATAGTTTCTTCATAAATAATTTAGCGACAAATAAGCAAAAATTTATTTGAGATGATTGATTTATTTACAGAACAGCCAGCGAAGATAATAATTTAAAATTATTAGTATTAATAAATTAATCTAATATTTAAGATCTTAATTTAATAATTTAAGAATTTATAGGTGTTAGTGAATCATCTAACATTTAAGATTAGAAGTCATTGTAATCCTTATTATTGCAGTAATACAGTAGCTTATAACACAATTATAAATCAATATGTTTCAAAGAAGTAAGAAAAAATTTGTCCATTTATAATGGATATGAAAAAATATATTTTTTAAACAAAGCCTTTCTTTGCAATCTTTTTCAGTCAGTTTACATTATCGAATTATGCCTTTTAAAATAAAATTTCGGGCATTTGCTTAATATTTTTCTCGTCATTATTTATTCCATCAAAACTCTATAATTTTATAAAATTTGAAAAAAATTAAAGTATTTGTAACATTATTAAATTATTGATCCTTAATTTAAAAGGATCCTGGCTGAAAAAGGGGAAAAATATCTAAGGATGTTGAAATTACTATTTAAAAAAAAAAATACAAGCTAAAATTTAATATTCGAGCTGTTGCAAGATTTCGAGTATTTAGAAATAAATTTGCAACACGAATACTTGAGTATGACAAATAATTCCAATATTTACGAGTAACATGAGAGTTGAAAATGTACATTTGAGTAATTGAAAAATTGTCAAGCTACACATTTATCTCGAAATAACTCGAAGTTTTACGAGCACTTATATAAATATTCAAGCCATTTAGAGATTCAAGCAGATCGGAAAATTTCCGGCAGCATCGCAATGTTGACGTTTTAATATTGCCGCTGGAGATAATGATTTATTATAATTCAATTTATTATAATATATTATCTGATGATCCGCTATTGAAAACTAAATTCTGAAAAGAAGTTCAAAGGAACTTTTTTTTATTTCTATTCATGAAATGAAGTAAAACGTGTTATGAATAAAACAAATTTAAAACTAACACGTAATCGTCTATTGACGAAATATGTAATTTAAAAACATGTAATTTAAATACATCATTCGATCCTTGGCCATACGATCTGAATTATATCTATAGTTAACATGAACGTATCAAGTATCTGTTACATAAATAAATATTAAATGCTGTGTTTCGCGTAGAACGTAGTCAATGTTAAAAAAAATTAGTTTTACAGATTTACAAAATAAAAATAAACGATTAAATTTACAACATGTTGATAATGAATTATTAAAAAGCCGAGTGATCATCGAGTAAGTTAATAATGTCACTTATCCGTGATATATATTGTTACGAAATTCTTGTGTTACAAACATTGTACTAATCCGAGAAGTTACAATTCTGATTGTTACTCCAATAATAATAATTATTATTTGATATTGTTGTATTTATAAATTCTTTTTTTAGCAATCTTAAAAAGGTTCATTCATAACGTATTGCCAAAATCAGTAACAAGACGAAAAATTCAAAAATTTACAAGCAATCATAATAAGAAATAGGCATTTGCATTTATAATGATATAATGATAAACGACTAATTCTCTTGTAGGAAATTAAGCACAGACAACTAATTATGTGTTCTGATTTACTTTGTGAAAGCATAGTTTTTATGTTTACTATCAGCTGCTATGATATTATGTACTATGTACTTTACCAATTTCACTGATGAGAAAATTACTATTACTAATAAAGTTGCAATTCTGTTTTCAAATTGAAAATATTGAAAAAAAAAAAAAAAAAATGAGGGATAAATCACAAAGTTAGCTCAGAATTTTCACAAACGGACTCGCAGATTTTTCTATATATTATCGCGAAAATTTAATCCCAATGATCAAAAACGAATCTTTATCTAGAATTTGTTTTCATTCTCGCAGAGGTACGTTTTATTAAAATTTATTTTTCATACATCATTGTTAAATTACAGGCTCTTGTACGTAAAACACAATATGTTACGCAATCTACTTGTCATTCAAATGTCCAATTTGCAATTTTAAAATAATATCAGACTAAATCTTATGAACAGAGGCATGAATTCGGATGTTAATATATAAAATATCATAGCACAGATATCTCATCGTCAGCAATGATGGAAAAATTCAATAGATTAAAGATTAAATGTAAACAAATTAAATGCCTCATATTATCAGACACGTGATTGAATGTACAAACATACATTATTTGATTGATAATTATAATAAAATACATAGTATTGTAATGTAGATACTGATTACATTCATTGCTACAATAAATTAATTCCAAAAATTACCGAAACAAACTGAAATTTCCTAGGAGATAAAGAATAGCAATAAGATTTACTAGATTAATCGATTTAATAGATTTTATTTATCTTTCCATCGGGTTTTCATATCGTTAGATATTTGCCTATCTAGCTCTCCACGAACAAACACGGAAGAAAATAATTTGCGAGATGAAACAGTTCCGTACGTTAGCGTGCATGTCAGCGGCGAAGGAAATACGTTACCTGAAGTTGAAGAAGTAGAAAAGAACTCCGAAGAAAAGGAATATTTCAATAAGACCACCCATTTCCGTGTGGAAGAAGGCCGCGTGGCTTTTTCTTTTTTTCTCTTTTTTTTTTTTTTTTTTTTCCCCCGCCGAAAGTGTAAAACAATGCTAGATGCTTCTCGTTCGGTCTATTCGTAAGAGCGTAGAGAATCAACTGCTGGTTTTCATGATTTTATCACCTAGCAATCGTGCAAACTTTGATCCAGTACGTTAATTACCACAGATCACTTCATCAAGATTCTAAAGAATTCGACTGATTCAATAATTATTATTTCGAGCGTCGTTCGTGCACGTTCCCACCTCTCTGTCACGATCGGTCGATTTCCTTCTCTTTAGAACTTTTCGTCAAGTCGAGCTGCTTTAATAGCAGAAGCAGCGTGCATGAGAAAACTGTACTGCTGCCGCGGCAAATGACGATTTTCTACTGCAACACGTTAAGTAACCATGGGCAACATACGACAAAGAGGACAGTTCGCTGACTCGCTTAGTTAACGATGCAGTACGTCAAGATGTTCGGTGTATTATAATAACAAAAACTGATTTTTAAAGTCAAATTAAAAAAAGTTCGATGTTGCACGCGAACCGACGTAAGAGAAATTCACACTTTTACACTGTTGCAAACAACTTCGAAATTTCTTCGGTAATTGAAGATCAATGTGACAATCCTTCGTCAGGGTTTGTTTCATTCTTTTCGCTTGCCGTGCTTGGAAATGCAAATATTACATTTCAGTGAATTAATAGATTAATAGCGTTCCAATTTATTTCCCATTTGCGACGATGAATGCGTACATATACATATGATTATATGACCATCCGTTTTAAGCCTCCTTATATTTTAGATTTACATCAGGATGATTAACTGATCGGTGAAGGAAAGAGAAATAAACGAGTTTACGAGAAATATCAAAAATGAAATTAACATCTCACACTGATTGCACTCTATGTAAAAGTATTAGAAAATATAGTATTTATACCACAAAAATATTTGAACTTATAGAAACTTGTGTTTGTAACAAATATACTCTAGGATCTACATATATACGTGCATTTTCAAGTTAGTTTTCAATTTCACCAATATAATCACGGATGTCGCAATTTAATAGTAGTAAATGAATGAAAATCCAGATATTCTTTAAAAGTGGGTAAATTAGCCCATTAATTCAGCTTCGTCAATTTTAATCGTGCCAATTTTCGCAAAAGCGAAATATTATATAAGCCGGAATGTTATACAAGCAAAAAAATATACAAAAAAGCAAACAAAGAAGAAATTTATCCATTTTTAATTTAATTTAATTAGTCGAACGTCAACGTAGTTACTGCAAATGTCACAATCATAATTATATATGTACATACATGTCCATAGAAAACACATAATAATCATCAAAATATCACTATTCTTTTTGCTATTAAACATGGTTGTTGATTACTGTTAATTCAGAAATGATAAGATTAAAATTTGAAAGCAATTATGCAACGCGTGTGATTATCCTTCGCAAAATTATTGGCATGGTTGGAGATCGGTGTAACAGTGGCGTTACTCTAAATCCGCCAATAAGATCCTCACGATAATTTTGTTCTTCGTGTTAAAAAAAAATAATTAAAATGCTGTTAGTAAACTCTATCACTTGAGTTTTCTTGCATTATACAAAATAAAAACATGTACCATAGAATTACAGTTGGGATGCATTCATATACACTGATTTATTGTAATCACATATTAGTTCAATGGAAAATTTTGAACGTTTAATAATTACGTGTTTTAAACAATACTGAATTAATCTGATCGAAGTGAAAGAAAGATAAAAAGAAACATCTGATGTTGCTTTATACTCGGTAATAACGTTTACACGGCGCACTATGTGACAAACAGCATCTTGAGCTGCAAAATCGGTATGACCTGAGGCCCAGTTAGTCCCATGCACTCGTAAATTAATCCTATTGAAAGCTATTAACGTTTCGTGCTGGATTTTATTGTACATCAATTTGTAAGAGTACATTAAGATTCTCTGTCTGTATGTTCAGGGAGTTTCATTGGTAGTTTCAAGTACTTACGAAAGAATGATTTCATGTAAGACTTATTGTTATACACTTTCTTTTCAGTATACACGCTACTTTCACTAACTAGAAATAGCGTACACAAAAGAATCACTTCTTTTCGTATATTTTAACTTTTTATTAACTTCTTGTTATAAGAATTATGCCGTTTTTTACTATTTTTATTATTTTAGTATATTTTTATTATTATATTTCGTAAATATTTTATTTTTGTTATTATCATCGTCGTTATTAACATATTGTAAATTACTTAATAACATCGTAGTAAATATGCATATATTATGTACTCGTAACAGCTATTATGTAACATGTTGTTAAGTATTATTTAATACTTAAAATAATTATTAATATAAATTAATATAAATTACCTTAAATATTGATATAAAAAAGTTATAATGTATAAAGGTTACATGTAACATAAGATTTACTGATAAAGTCAATTATTCATTTCACAGTTGTAACAATAATTATAAAAATTAATAAAGAATTCAGATTTCATTCGGTCTAATTCACCTCGTGTTTATTACGATTTCAATTTTTAATAAAACATAACCTTAATTTGTTAAGATACTAAAATTAACTTTGATAACTATATACATAATAATCTTACCTTGTACTGATATATCAAAAACGTTTTATAACACAGAATATTATTTAAAATACTTAAAATGCTGAAGTAGAATATGCATGATATTTCACGCCATTACGCAAACTATACCACGTTTGTATTTATTTTAACGTATTCTTTAAGACTTTAAGATATATATAATAAAATCATTGTATATAAAAATATAACATTAGACAATTAAAGATTTATTATTACAATAAAAAACTTATATTTATATTATTTATAAAAAATCTATGATGGAACATTTTATTTTCATTATATATCTTTAGAACCACTTCATATACAATAAAATAAAAGTTATTCGGTAAATTCTTAAAAAATTACATAAAAATAAATCGTTCATTTAACGTTAATTTAATATTTATAACATAAACATCATATTTTTATTACAATATGTTTATACAATCATTAGAAGAGACACGCACACAAAGCGCGTAGCATACATAGTGCAACACGTGTAAACATTGAAAGGATATCATAAAAAACGTGTAAACATTGAAAGGATACCATAAAAGGATAATCTGGTTGTAAAAACACAATTATTATTTAATTACTTTGACTAAATAATTGAAACTACGATAAAATGGTAGTAAGTAATTACAATTTTACTTTTAATTTGAAACTAATAAAATTATTAACCTATGTACATGTACATAATAATCTGTAAATATGATAAAAATATTATTTTAGTTATACAATTCTTTCATTAATTTTAAATTATAAATGTACATATTTTAACTTATCTAAATTCTTAACCAAATAGAAAAAACTCAAAATCAGTGCGGTTAAAAGAAGTAACCAAAAACGAACCAAACTTTCACGGCAAGGAAAACTTAAGACAAGGAGACATAAACTGGCAAAGAAACAAATCCATAAGAAAGTATTTCCACATACAGAATCTGTGGAAGAAGAAGAAAGTGATCATGGCGAAGATCTTATGGGCATGATTGAAGACGATGATCTAGACTTTTTAAAGAAAGCCATTTCTAATAAATCATATAATTTGTTGAAACAAATTCATTTAAATGGGTAACTATTGTAATAATTAAAATAACTATTGTAATAATTAATGACTTTATTTTGATCTAGAATAATTATAAGTGATATGTATATTTTTTAGAGCAGCTGATGATAAAACAAAACATAAAAATAAGGAAAAAAAAGAAGATACGTTAGAAGAAAGGTATGAAACTAATATATCAAAAATAGTTGAGACGGAAGGAACAAAGAAGGTTCGTATGTTACTTCCTATAAAAACTCAAAATGGGAGTATAGAAAAAAGATTAATTGAAGAAAATGATACTGACGATAATGAAAACGCAACTCATCAGGAACATGATGCAAAAAACAATAAAATGGAATTAGAATCCAATTTTCTTGTAAGATTTCATTAAAATTAAAGTTCTATTGACTCTATAACCTTCATTTTTTATATATTGGTTAATTTTTTTTAGAATAAAGATGAAAATGAAGATATGAAACCTGTGTCTGTTATAGAACTTATAGCATGCCGGGAAGAAGTACTGAGATCTAAACGTTTAAAAATTGGATTATTATCTAGTAGTCTCCTAGAAATGCCAGAAGCTAAATGTGATAATTTTAAAACATTATTAGAATTAATGGAAGAAGCTAATCCAGAGGTATACATTACTGTAAGAAAATTAGCAACTGTTTCTTTACTGGAAGTTTTTAAAGATTTGTTACCATCTTATCAAATTCTTCAAATTCAACAAGAAGGTGTAAAATGTATGTACCTGTAATAATATGCAAATATGATTATTGCAAAATATATATTTTTCATTCATTTTTTAGTAAAGAAAGAAACACTTGCATTACAAAATTACGAAGCTACATTATTAAGATATTACAGACAGTATCTACAAAAGTTAGAAAAAATGACAAATGTATTAAGAAGAAAAAAAGGAGATACACAACAAGTAAAAGAGCAACAAATTGAGCTAGGAAAAGTTGGAGTAAAATGCATGTGTGATCTTCTAACGACTCATTCTTACTTTAATTATTCTATCAATATAGCAAATTTTCTTATACCATTGTTAGATAATAAAGATACGTTTGTAAGACAGGAAGTGTTAAAATGTATTTCTCAAGTGTTTAAAGAAGATCAACGTGCTGAATTATCTCTAAAAGTAAGAAATTTAAATGCTTCTATTTTATTTAAATCGAATTTTAAAAATATAATATAATAAATATATTAAATTTTTAGATAGTACGTAAATTAAACCAATACGTAAAATTAAAAGCTCATTCTGTTCATTCTGAGGTTCTGTCAGTACTCTTGTTTCTTCGTATAAAAGATGTAAATTTAGATAGAGAAAAAGAAGAAGAGACTAAACAAAAGAAACTTATGTCTCATAAACAAAGAATTCTTACTTTAAGTAAACGTGAAAGGAAGAAGAATAAGAAACTTGAACAAGTGGAAAAAGAATTACTTGAAACTAAAGCAGAAGAGAATAAACAAAGCAAGCAAAAATTAATTACCGAAATAACAAGTATAGTATTTACGATTTACTTTAGAATTTTGAAACAAGTTCCAAATAGTAAAATCTTATCTATTTGCTTGGAAGGATTGGCAAAGTATGACAGATTTTTATTAAATTTAATTGCATGTAAAATAATATGATATCTAATAATATTCAATTACAGGTTTGCACACTGCATAAATTTAGATTTTTACCAAGATTTAGTAACTGCTATAGATAAACTAATGGAAGAGGGTAATATAAACTTGAAAGATCAATTGCACTGTATTCAATGTGTATTTACAATATTATCGGGACAAGGTTTAGCATTAAATCTTGATCCTTACAGGTTTGTATTAAAAAGAATAAATATTGAAAATAAAAAAACTAAAATAAAATCACATATCATATTTATACAGGTTTTATGCATATCTATACAAAAATTTACTGAATATTCATGGTGGTAGAACGCACTCGGAAATGGAAATTCTTATGAAAATTTTAATTCAAGCTTTAATTCATCGAAGAAAACGAATTACACGAAGTCGTTTAGTAGCATTCATTAAAAGAATAGCTATTTTAACTTTACAGTTACAACATAATTCGGCACTTGGCATTCTTGGTATTATAAAACAAAGTATGCAACTTGGAAAAACGCTGGATATTTTATTGGATACTGATTCTTCTACTGGAGATGGTTTTTATCAAGCAGAACTAGAAGAACCAGAGTATTGCAATGCTCATTGTTCAGCATTATGGGAACTTACAGCTTTACAAGTACATATTTACATAAGTTATATGATTTTAGTGAATTTAAATATTATTATTACTAAACATACTTTTATTTTTATTATTAGCGACATTATCATAGTGTTGTACAAAAAATGGCAAAAAACATAGTTTGGAACGTGCCATCAATAGGTGAAGGCAGTTTATCTCCAGAAATTGCTAAGCTGTAGGTTCAACATTTTTTTTAAATATTTAATACAGTCATATTATTCACGTTTACCATTATCCAACGAGTTTTATTCTATAATATATTATAATAGATATTTATATCTTTTTATTGTTCAGGCAGCGCTTCATGAAATATAACACAAAATAATATATAATAAACAAAAACATATAACAAATTTTAAATTTTTATATTTGTTTCAGTTCTCCAGAAGAACTTTATACTGAATTTGATCCTACTGGTGTTGTATTTAAGCCAGCAGTACCAGTTCCAAAAAAGACAAGTGTCAAGAGAACAATAACAACTCATCATTTTATAAATACTAAATTTAAAGAATATATTAATACTATAAATAATACTGAATTATTTGTACATGGATGTATAGATTTTTATAAAGCTTATAATAATTAATACTGTATGTAATGCAAATTATAAAGATCAGATGAAATATTAAATATTATTCATATTTTGTAAATAGTAACAATCAATTTTTATAATCATATTAATTTAAATATTACATTTACAATGCTAAATTTCTTAACTATTAAACAAATGTTATTTTCAAATAAAGAGATTGAAACACTAAATATGAAAGTACTACTTTTAACAAGAGAATGGATATTTGTATAAGGATATTTAGATATTTATAATTTATTCTGCAGTTATATCCTTACACTCCTTATACATCTTTAGTTAAGATAAAACATTTTATATTTGTAAATTCATTACATCATCGATATTAGTACATTCTGAATTGTTTTCTTTTGTTATATTTAATTTTACTTCAGTCAAACTTTCTTTGTCACTTGTCTGTGAAGATGGATCAACTTTTTGCAAAGGTATATGTTTACGTTCTATAATATTCATTTTTATAGCATCTTCTATTTCTAATGCCTCATCTATTATATTATTTTCATTCTTTGTTGCTTGCTTTGTAGCAATTTGTACATATTGATGCTCATTTTTATCAAAATTTGGTAATTTTGATGTATTAATTTTGTCGATTGTTTTTGTTACAATGACTTGTTCATTTTTATCATTTTGATGGACTGATTGAGAATTTCTTCTCGCAAGAATTATCTTAGTGTATTTAACAGTAGGTTGATTGGAACGAGTTTGTATTGGAATTGTAGTTTTAGTTTTAGACGAAGTGGAAATTTGAGGCTTTGTTTGTAGTATTACGTGATTTAAATTTTGTACATTGGGACATATAACAGCTTGGGTACAAGGTGTTATAAATTTGTTAGTTTGCTGAATTTTATCGTGTTTATTACTTATGAGAACAACTTTGGTATTACTGTTTAACTTATGTATACTTTTTTCATGAATGTCTACAGGCATTGTCTGAGATAAAGATGAATTTTTTTCAATAGAGTTTAAATTATCATCATCTTTTGCAAAGATTATTGGTATATCTAATATATTTCCCAATTCATCATCAATCTCATTTACAACAGAATTCTTCTGTACTATTTGAGGTTTATGAATTCTTTGTAAATTAGATGTATTGACTGTTATTTTTGGCATCGTTTTAGTTGACTTTTGAGTAATTTTTAGTTTATTAGATAGTGGTAAAATAGTTCCTGAACTTTGACTGCTTAATGGTAATACCACTGATGAACAAACAGGTTTAGAATTAAGGGAACTTTCAACCATAATTATATTCCCACATGCTGTATTATGAGAGATATCGTTATTACAAGTTGTTACTTGTCGAGGTATTTGTGACATCTTGAATGTATCCAGGGAATGAGTAGAATTGAGCATCACATGTGAAGAACTATTGGTTGCCATGTCGTCCATCACTATAAAACACATATACATATTTGAGCAATTTTTTAAAATATAAATAAATGTAAATAATTCACTGTGTCAAATTATCATTCAAAGATAAACATTTTTCTTTTAAATGATTTTTAAAAACAGTTAGAAATATAATAAAAATCATGCATAAATTTATTACATATAATAAAAGATTTGATTTCATTACATGTATGTAATCAAGTATTTCATTACATGTATGTAATCATATAAGTTATATGTTATATGTAATTAAATTATATGTAATTATGTATTATATGTAATTAAATTATAATTTAAATATTTTAAAGCAAGAAAATTCTTCAATAATGTATTAATAATATTTAAATAATTATTTTATTTGATAATATAAAAGATTTGATAAGATAACATTAAATTCATTACTTTTAATGTAATTGAAAATTGTTTAAAGTTAGTATTAAATAGGATTGGGACAAGGAGACAAATAAATTCAAATTACATGGAAAAATGTTTATTTAACACAAAATAAAAGATAGTAGTAACATATTTACAACATATTACTTTAGATACTTTTAAATGTAAACTTATATTAATTGTAAAGTAATATAAATACATGCTACATTTGAACACATGTTACATCACATGCTAAACAAAGACATACATTTACTGATGACTTATATATAAATAATATAGAGGAAATAAAAAGAATACAAACAAGCTAGTAATAAGAACAAAATTTTATGACTAGAAAATATAAGATCTATTTCATGGACTATTTTTATTATTCTACAATAAAAAATATAATTAAAATTAAGATTAAAATCTATTATTTTTCTATATAATTTCAAAAATATAAACAAAATTTATCTAAGACAAATTCATTTTATAAGAAATTCGTTTTATCATATTAATGATATTCATGCACATTTTTTTTACATATGTAAATATGATCCAGATGATGTTATATAAAAATGTATATTTATAATTAAATTAATTATGAAAACATGTAAATCCCAAATATTATTTTAATGAATCAAAAAAATCACTGAATGATGTTATTAATAAAAAAAAATGTATTTAGATAACAATTCTAGTACTAAAGTTGTACATATACAATGTATTTAGATAACAATAGTACTAAAGTTGTACATATACAATAAAAAACTTACATAATAGGAATTTGTATGATATATACTTTGATAAATATGTTGATAGATGATATGAATGCTTCCTTCCAGTGCTCTTGTTTATTTAATCACTATGCTAAATACTTAGGAATTTATTTTACTATTTAACTTTTTGTGCTTTTTTAATTGTATCTGTGTATATCTTAATTTTGTTAGATCATGTTTATTTTGAGACAATTTTTTTTAAATTATTTTTTGACAATTTAATATCGGTCTTACTTTTTATGTATTTTATGCATTTTAAATATATATATTGCAATTATATAATTTTTATATACATATATACAGAAATTATGTTATAAAATTTGGAAAGTAAAGTTAAAGCTTTTTTTAAATAATAAAAGTATAAAATATTCAGAATAATTCTTCAAAATAATAATAATTTATATAGATTTAATAATTTCTTTTGTTAAAAATTGTATTTTAAAAATTATATACATTTAATTAAATATTAGAAACGATTACGAAGTAGATATATTATTTAATAGCTGATTAGATAATAATATTCTACCTTTTGGTATTGTTGATGTGGTTGATGCTGTATTTGCCACAGAACTATTTGGTGTTAGTAAAATACTGGAAGCTGCCGATACACGCGCAGACGATGAGCTAGTAGTGAGTGGAAGAGATGTTTTGCCATTTTGTAAAATATTTGATAAAGTTCCATTTGATGCACCAATTGTAGGTATCGCTGTGAAACAAGAGAAGTATATATTATGCAAAATATATACAACAGGAATAAAGAGAAATAAAAAGCAATTTTTAATGTAAAATTCACCTGTTGTAGTTGAAGTATTCACTCTAATCTGATTTCCTGATGATGTTAAAACATTAACGAGTTTTGTATCTCCATTCTTGTCAGGAATATTAAGATGCCTATAGTTGTTCGATACTACTTTAGAAAAATTTTTATTTGATGATACAATGGCTTTCATTTTTGACATATTTTGTAACTGTACACTCGTTGATACAATTTTAGGCACTTTAGTTGACGCAATCGAAGATTTAGGAATATTTTTAATTGTTGTAGAGACACCTTGACTAGATAATGCTGGAGCTAAACGTATTGGGCCAATTGGTGCTAAACTTGCCAATGAGCCAATATTTAATGTTATACCACCATTATCTGAACTTGAATTTGGCTAAAAAAAAATATTTATCTTTTTTATCATTTTACATATTTTATCTTTGTTTTTATTAAATTTTTTTATTAAATATGTATGTATTATATATGATATATTACAAAATATGTAGATCTATTTTGTTATTAGATGCTTCCTTTTTAATAAGTTTTTTTTTAAGTTACACTTACTTGTCCAGAAAGTCTAGAAGTTATTAAATGTTCTACAAAATGGCTTTTCTGATTACTAACAACTCGAGGTTTCCGTTTCACAGTCTGTACATGATTAGTATGTATTCCACTCACTGCGATTATATTTTGTTGCGTATTAAATGTCCCTACTCGAGAAATTGTAGCTGATTGTGTGTTTTGCCCAATAGATACTACTGAAGAAATTGGTGTATTTGGTCGAGATTTTTTTATAGTAGGAGAATTTGGTTCACTTTCAACAGAACTACTTGTTGAATTTTTTCGTTTTCGAATTTCCTTTCTGTTATTTTTATTTTCATAATTTGACAATGATGTTGCTCTTAACGGTAGTGGATGTGGTTGTAAAAGGATAGTTCCCACAAAATCTCCAATTTCATCTAAGATACATCTATCTACCATATTTTGTGTAATACCCTCTGATATTTTTTTAGCAGTACATATTCTCAAATGATCATCAGCAGTTCCAACCATGACTAAACTTGTTTCAACCATCATTTTTTCTCTAACATCTTCTAATTCATCAGGTCTTACAAGTGTAGCATTTTGTCCTATGACAAACATAACTGGACATCGAATATCCATTAATGTATCATCAGGTGTACCTCTTTTCCCTTCAACTGTAGAAAATGGGAAACCAAGACAAATAACTGCAGTTACATGTTCCATTTGTGCTACCTATAAATGTATTTAATATTTTTCTGAATTATAGTAATATGTTATACTATTATAGTAATATGTTATAGTAATATGTTATACTATTATAGTAATATGTTATACCATGCGTTTATATAAATATTATACCTGACATGCAAGAGCAGCACCAGTATTAAATCCAACAAGAATGATAGGCCTACCAGGACAATCACTTCTGATATCTTGTATTTTAGTTCTGGTGGCTTGAACTAATTGATCAATGCATACCATCATAGTCATTCTATTAGCTGCTAAACCTAAGTGTGTATGAACAGTAACAACCATTCCTAAAGCTCCTAATTGTGAGATCCATCTATGTTGCCGAGTAGACATACTAGATCCCACTCCAGAAGGAACTATTATTAAAATTGGATTTCCTGGTAACTTCTTCTGCAATAAAAATAATAATTACATCCATAAATATATATTATATATTATAATAAATTATGTAATAAAATATACATACAAGTCTATTACTATTTAAACTTGGAGCAATTGGATCCCATGTACGTTTAAGAAGTGATCCAAGTGTCTCCCATGTTATAGAACCTGTTTTTCCATTGATATTTGGTTGTACAGCAATCATTTTATCAATAAGTTGAGGAATTTTTAATCTTAAACATTGTAATATATCAAGATATATCCCAAGATACTCTTGAGGAAGATGGTCAAACAATAAATTGTGCAACCATTGTGCAAGTCTCCAATCCCAACCAGCTGATGCTAATGTTTCTCTAAATCTCCTTGCAGCTGTATCAACTGATGTCCTTCGGTAAATTGGTTCTATTGAACTATTTACTTTAGCTAATCTTGCAAGTCTTTCAGAATTTAATATTTTCAGAACTTTAGTAAATATTCGATTCTGGACTGGTGTCCATAAAATTTTATCAAGCTTTTCTTCCCAATCTTCATTTTCGTCGGGTCTAGCAAAATTTGCTAATCTTTGTAATTCATCCATTTGATGTCGAACTTTAGTAAAATCTATTGGTGGTATTAATGGTTCATTAATATCTTCTTCTATATTAATTTCTTCGTCCTGAGTAACTTTTTCCCTAATATAAAAAAGATTATAATATAGTTTTATGTATGATAATTACATTTATAATTCTCTTATCATTACTTCTTACATTAATAAATTTTTCTTTGAAAAAAATAATTTTTTTATTGGCTTTACATAAACATTCTCTGGTTTCCAATTCCATGGACGTGCATAACAATGATCTTTTGCAAGCACATTAATTTCTGTTTCATAGCATCCAGCAAGCTGATGTAAATATGTAGTTAATCTACTAGGATTATCATCAATTGTATCACTGATGGGACTTGGTATTCTAGAAGTGTTTATTGATGTGGAAGGCATCGTTAATGTTGATGTTAACATTATTAAATTACTTATACTGAATATATTTATAATTATAATGCATTCAATGAATAACACTGTAATCATTTAGTTTTCCTCACATGACTGTCACTATCTTGAATCTGTATCATAAAAATTAATAAAATTATTATTTAGTTAACAATTATAATATCAATGGTTTGTAAAGGAAAAAATTACTTAATATTTTTAATATATAAAAATAATAAGAAAAAATTATTAAGCGAAATATATAAAAATTAAACTTTAGAGTATAAAACTTATACATACATAAAGAATCATGTTCTCGAAAATATTTTCATGATAAAACTAACCTTGAAAGTCTCAATTTCAATTGGAGACTTTAAGTTGTACTATCGTAATATTAATTATTTTACAATAATACGTAGTTCTATTTCAACCAGCAAAATAATATAACGCAATCTAACTAATCCCTAGAAAACACAAAAACACATGTGAAACAAAAACATAGTGAGTTTGTAGATATTTAAAATTATATCAATTTTTTTTATATTTTTTATTAATACAAAATAATTATTCTGCATTGATTTCAATAATTCGCAATATGATAAAATGCAAGAAATGAAAAAAATATAATTAATAAAAATAGATGTAAGTAGATAGATACATAGAATTCCAATTTAGTGCATAATATTCAAAACAATGAATGTCCACTAACACCTATGATACATTAACCAATCAATCTACAAATACGAAGTTAAGCTAAATTTTACGTTTTTTTAAGGTTTCTTCGACGATTTCAAAAGTAGTTATATGTACAATCTAGATGAATAAAACAGTACTCATAGTTTACATGGAAAGTATTCTAAAAAATTTGGACATTCAATGTATAGTGCAGTATATTTTATAGTAAAGTCTGATTTTCAACAAACATTTAACTATACTATGCATTAGTATCATTACAAAAACAATGAATATAGTATTTTCCACAATATGAAATTGAATGTTATTTAAATCGAATGTGGTTAAACTTTAATGTATTGTATATTATATCTAATATTATTTAATATTATATAATACTAATATATATATATATGTATATATAT